GGACCGCTGCGCTGATTCTCCCAGAACGCGAACAATGACACAATGGCGCGGGTACTCATGTGCGCGAATCGCATTTCTACTCTGCAGCTGAACGTCATCCCCGCGCCTACGCTCTGGCCAAGGGGGGAAAATGATTGCGGCCGACTGCAGTCATTGGATCGTCCCGACCATCCGTATTCCCGGATCGGACGACCAACAGGCGCGCGCGGAGGGCCCACCCGGAAAACTACATATATGAGGGAGGCCCACCACTCCCCATTGGAAAATCCCGACCATCAGTATCCCCGGATCGGACGGCCAGCAGGTGTCCGCAAAGGGCCCTCCCGAAAAACTATATAAATAAGGGAGGGTCACCAGTTCCCATTTTCGTTTCAGTTCGGCAACGCAGCAGTAGCGCAGCGCAGCGGAGGTTCGTCGACGCAGCGCAGCGGAGGCTCGTGCCACAGCGCAGCACAGTGGAGGCTCGTGTACAGCGCGGCAACGGAGCGCAGGGATTCGGTCCGTGCATAGCAGACCACCTGCGCTATCGAGAGGCGTGTTCGAGAGGCGTGTTCAGCGCGACGACGGAGCGAGCATACGACCCAAGATCGCGACGCACAACCACAGCGGAGCACCCCGAGTTTGAAGGATCGGACGGCACCCCGAGTTTGAAGGATCGGACGGTGAGGACACAACCACGCAGCCCAGATGCAAACCACGTAACGCCACGTGGCACTTCCGGTCGTCGAGTCGAACACGATCGTGCCTGATCGTCGAGTCGAACACGATCACGCCCGATCGTCGAGTCCAACACGATCGTGTCCGATCATCGTGTCGAACACGATCTTGCCCGATAGTCGAGTTGAACACGACAGTGCCCGACAATCGAGTCGAACACGATCGCGCCCGATGTCTGATTGTCGAGTCGAACACGGCAGTTAAGTCGAACACGCTCGTCGAGTCGAACACGATCGTCGAGTCGAACACGATCGTGCCTGATCATCGACTCGGATACGATCGTCGAGTCGAACACGATACTGCCCGACCGTCGAGTCGAACACGATAGTTGAGTCAAACACGACACTGCCCGATTGTCGAGTTGAACACGATAGTCGAGTAGAACACGACACTTCCCTATCGTCGAGTCGAACACGATACTGCCGGATCGTCGAGTCGAACACGATAGTTGAGTCGAACACGACACTGCCCGGTCGTCGAGTCGAACACTATCGAGTCGAACACGACACTGCCCAATCGTCGAGTCGAACACGATACTGCCCGGTCGTCGAGTCGAACACGATACTGCCCGGTCGT